TATATGTTCATTGTAGTTAAATTTTATAATAGATATTAATAGTACAATCTTATCTACAAACATGCATGCTTTGCCGTTCAGTGGCTGTGATCAATGCAGCTTATTGGTATGATATAACACCCTTTCCCACTTTTATTGGACAAGTTCGCAAATGAAGAACAAAATCTGTTTATTCTCAGCCCCCCCCAAAAAAAAGTTTGCGATCTTTATTCAATATGAAGAATCCAGCTCAAAATGTGACAAGGAAAAGCTTGGGCATGTTTGTCTTATACTATACATAGGCCTACTGGCAATAGATCACACAAAAATAGAAACTATAATATATAACTAACATAACAAATTGTAATTGAATTGTACCTATTTCTCACAAAGGTCAGTTACTGAATTATCTTAAAAAAGTACTGGTAGGATGCATGCTGCATACCCTAAATTTCAAAGCTCACAAACATATATTTAGCTGAAAAAAACTAACATTTGAAACAACTAACTCAATGCAAACTGTGATTGCCAGGTTACCAAATAATCAAAAATCCTGGACCTGGCCTTTTTTGGCAATGGCATACTGGGGGGGGGGGGACTTAAAATCAGAAATATTTTACAAATATAAGTTTTATCAAAGTCAGCTGTTTAAAAGGATTTTTATTGGCTGGCGTTTAAATTTTAACCCATTGAGTCGCATTGTACCCTACTTTATTATTTTACTCTGTTCAACACCAGATGATTTTACTCATCAAGGGGAGATCATGCAGGGGCTTAATGGTTAACTGGCCTAACTGCCCATGTGTCCAGTTAACCCACTGAGTCGCATTGCGCCCTACCTTACTATTTACTCTGTCTAATACCAGATGATTCAACATCAGATGATTTTACTCGTCAAGGGGAAAGCGCTGCCGCATAAGGGGTTAACCAATATGTTTGATCTTGGTGCATGATTTATTAAATTTTGATATCACAAGTGATAGTTTGACGTGGAAAGTCATCCGCCACGGAAATGTATAAATCTATATACTATACTGCAAAGCTGTGGATAAAAAAAGAACACTATCAGGTAGTGTAATACTACCATTATGTAACAAATATACAGTGGCGTAGCTAGCGGTCCTGCTTGTCCTGCCCAGCAGGACTAAAAATTTCCCCAAATTTCCTTAGTAAAACATTGCTTTATTTATCTTGAAGCTTTAAAAATTTATCATTATCATATTGTTATTTTGTCTCATTTTTTCGTCTCTTTTGTTATTATTTTTTAAAACGTTTTTCGAATTTTGTTATATTTACGCAATTTTATAGCTTGCCGTGTCTGTTACCTAGCAACTGCAACTCTATATTTTATTTACACGCGACTCGTATTTCAGTCCTGCAATTTTCAAATGGCAGGACTTGCTAGTATATTTCATAGTAAATTCGTACAGGAAATCTTGGTTTCTGATTGGATAATTAGGTCTGCGCATGCTCAAACTGACTGTTTACAAATGCGAAGTCCTGCTCTCTCGAAATGGCAGGACTTGGCCTTGTATTGTCTTTACTTGCGAGCTTTCCGCGTAACTAAACTCACTTTTTACTAATTCTGTCGAGATTACTCAAGTTATGAATATGGAAATCAACGAGTGTGGAAGCCCAATGTGATTTTCATATAATTTCTGGCTTCTGCTAAGATATTTTAGCTCACGAAATGCATGTGAACAGACTCGACTGATGATTGTATATTTTTATAATACAATATATAAATGGGGAATACAAACTTCATTTGTGAAGCCTGTACGTCGTATTGATATAAGGTAAGAACGTAATATTTACTGCTAGTTCATCTGCTTTGTGCATTTGAAACGAGCACTTAATTATATGGAGTTTAATTTTAAAAATGATATACTGTACCAATTCTGGGCAATTCACTCTGTTTATGTAATATGTAGATATTTGGCCGCATAGACTATATCAAACGCTATATTAATACCATAGGCATAGCGTACTGAATTACATTCAGAGTGCCAGGCGTAGTGATCTGTAGTTGATACCACTTCATTATATAAAGTTTAACACATTACTAACAAACGTAGTGAATTTTTAACGAATGCTAATCGTAGCGTTATAGTGTATAAAACGCCGTGTTCAACAGTATAGCAATTGTTGATTATGTGAGGTTGGATGTGTTGATCAAGTGAAAGATCGTATTACAGACGCGTATTCATGAATACATGATATTTTCCTCTTTCGTGACTAGACTATATTTAGCTACACTATATTTTCAGTTAAGTTCAAAAATATATAGTGAAATATGATAAAAAAATGCATGGATTTCAAAAAGTTGCAAATTTTCTTTTCTAAAACAATAAAAAATTTTCCGCTATCATGCAATTTTTTTATGTTTCCTTTGGAGTAATTCGCCGTGAAATCGCAGGAAATGGCCATTCCATACTTCTAAAATTCAAACTTTCCCGGGGGAGCATGCCCCCGGACCTCCTAGAATGGATGGGTCTTTGAGCGGGACTAGTCACCTTTCGCTAGCTACGCCACTGCAAATATATTCTCATACTGCATATAATGTTTACTCAAACTTAAATATTATTTACTGTATTAATATAATATATAAATTCAACAATATTTTAATTAATAATTTAACAATTTGACTATTCAATTCAGTTTTGAAAATGCTATAACTTTAATTTTCGATTTGTCTGATACTTAGTCATCTTGGCAGTTTGAATAATAATTATGGTGCAAATGTTTTCAAACAATGATAGGTTCTATGGTTTAAACATGATATATAGAGGTAATAGAGCTAGCTGTGTTCTTGATGCAACTGCATGATCATCATGCAAAGATGGTGATGGCTTAAGGAACAACTTCAACAAGAAGAGACTCCTCTTGTACTTCAAGTCATCAAATTCTTTTCACAAGATTTTGAACAAGGTCTCAGATCTGAGATGTGAAGAGACTATCAAGTAATAATGGTACAGGACCCAAAGAAGATCAAACCATTTGAGAGAAAGCCAAGCTACGCCAACAAGTGGACTTTAAAACTGATATGAAGTCTTTCCATGGCTTGAAAAGCATAGCATAAGAAGCCGCAAATTGCAATGGGAAAGAACAATTTGTAGACTTTCAAATTTGAGTGAACATTATATACAGTATGAGAATATATTTGTTACCTAATGGTGGTATTTAATACAGTATCTGGTTTTTTAACCAGAGCTCTGTATAGAGATTTATATATACATTTCCATGGCATGATGGCGTATCATGAGTTCAAATTCTTCGATATTAACCAGTGATTGAATGACTTTCCACTTCAAATATCACTTATATAGAATATAAGTGTCAAAGTATGAATAATTCACCGGTTATTCGAGTGAAATTAATTTGAAACCAAAACTGGATAAATGGAACGCCGTAAATGTTTAATAAAAATAAAAATGAACTTTGGAACTTCATGGTTGACACGCATGCGTATTGCACCCATTTTATTATTGACCGGTCAATAAATGTTTCGTTTTGGACCGGTTGCCACCTCGGCAAAGCACGCATGCAGTGAACACGACGTTTTGTGAACCGGCACGTGATACGGTTTTGACCAATCGGCAAACAGAAAATTTGAACTTTGACACTAACTATATAACAAGTGTATTTATCAATACCTGTACGTCTTCCGAGTATGTAGCCCACGTAAATAAAAATGCATTAAACACAATGTGTTAATCAACTGAGTGAACTGACTGAGGTATACTGCCTATATACTGGAGTTATATTTGAATACTATTTAGCTCTGTGGCACTGCATATTAGGACTGTGTTGAGCAAGTCTTATATTCAACAACTTATTGTAGTGGTGTTAATTGTGTGTGTTGGTATTGTGTACTCAGGTGAATATGATGTTTGTGATGTTACTTTGCATGTGCATCCAGATCGGGCAAGCTGAAAAGTTTGCCTGGCCACGGTGGGAATCGAAACCGCAACCTTTGGGATACTAGATAGTCCAATGTTCTACCAACTGAGCTACGAGGTCAAGTCGATTTGAGTTGGTGATATTTCGGAACAGAGTATAGTTCCTTCAATATCAATGTATCTTAAGATATGATGATTTATGTGTGTGTTTGTTACCTCGTAGCTCAGTTGGCAGAACATTGGACTAGTATCCCAAAGGTCGCGGGTTCGATTCCCACCGTGGTCAGGCAAACGTTTCAGCTTGCCCAGTGTGGATGCACACTCAGAGTAACATCACAAACAACTTATCCTAAAGTGACCACAACCACCACATGTGTACATAATCACATGTTCAAATGCAGAAGTGCTCAATTGCACATTGTCATATTATAATACATACAGTTGCAACTTCGAACCAAAGTTTTTGCTCGAGTTTTTGCATTGCTGCACGGTGCGTTTTACGTTAAAATGGTTTAATATGTAATCGTTACGAATAAATGGGAAAAAAACTCGGGTGTGGTCGTGTGGCTGGGGTGCGGAAAATCGGACGAAAGTGCGTGGCAAGTGTTGGTTATATAGGTTGTAGGTTGTTATAGCATAGATTTATCTTGGGTGCGCGACTGCCATACTCTGCAGCCTGGGCAGTTTGTGAAATATTTTTTATTATGAGTCTTCCTCCCGTTATGCCAATGCTAAAAAAGGCCAGGTCGACAAATACTCCAAGATTTTTGGATTATTTGGTAACCTGGCAATCAGAGTTTGCCAGGGTCCTTCCACGTGCACCAGAACCTTTAAACACCGGGGACCCTGGGTACGAGGTTGGGTTCAGTACTTCCATAGTCTGATAGATCAAACATTTTCAGTCGTCGACGCATTCTCACTTTCAGTGGGCAATATAACTGCTGCGGATCTTTCCAATGTACTATAAGCATTATTCCTCTCCACTTCACTTCCGGCCGAGTCACGTCGTAGTAGATTGCTCAACTTGTTGTATGGGACAAAAACATGTCTGACCCGTTGCATGACGTCATAGACATGGCGGCCAAACTCGTCAACATTTCCCCAAGCGTTTCGAAGCCACTCCATAGCTAATGGACGAATTAACTGAAGTCTGTCATACCATGAACTTCGCGCGGGTCTTGTGTTCATGTAATCTCTTCCATAGCGCACTATACCACGCGAGAGGCCTGGAACTGGCTCCCCTCCACTTGCCACATTTCCATAATCAGCACTAGTACTAGTCTCTTGTGATAAACTCGCAACTTCTTCTGAAGTATTGACATTACCATAATCAGCACTAGTACTAGTCTCTTGTGATAAACTCGCAACTTCTTCTGAAGTATTGTTGTCTTCCAGTTGTAGAGGACCGCGGGGACGTTGACGTAAAAAATCCAAACGGGCGTAATAAGGATGGCCTAGAGAAACAAATTTCAATATGTAGATCAGTAATTACAGCATACGTTAATTTCATCGTTTCTGTTCGTAATGTCACAAAAGTATCACTGGAAATATAAAAATTTAAAATAGTCAGTTCAGTCAGTCGACATATGGTCTGGAAGTTCCACAAACTTTAAAGAGTCCACAATGAGCTACGATTTTATGTTGATTTTTGCTTATTAATATTTCAACAGTGCCCAACTTATTGACTGCCAAGACAATAAATTTTTGTGATAATTAACCAATCGAATTAATATTCAACAGTGTTGTTGAAATATTTACAGAAAACTTGTTTGGGATGAAGTCGTCTTAATTTAATACCGCAGTTTGTAGTTTGTACACCATAATCACGATATTACTTGTAATCCCCGAGCCGACGGCGCGAAGCGCCGTGCGAGGGTACTAATTCCCTCCGGCTATTTACACCCGGGGAAGGGAAGCATTAGCGAAGTCAACGGTTCACCAACCGTGGGCGGTCATCCTCACTTACCTAAAAAATATGGCTGTTTGCCAGGAGCGGGATAAACAAGATTCCAATTTTCAAAAGCATATATTTGGAAAATCATATATTTGGAAAATTTGAAGAAATTTTTGTTTGAAGAAGTGAGAACAATTGGTTCACTGTTGTCCTTTTCAATGAAGCTGCATTAAAGTTTAAAATGTACAGGAGAGCAAATTCATTTGAAAACCGAACTGAAATTACTCAACAATTTGAACTTATTTTGTTTTATAAACTAAAAACTCGTACAGTTGTATATCGGAAATAGCACTTTATAGTTTAATATTAAAACGAACATTTCAAAACATTTTACGAAGCGATTCAAGTTAAATTTTACATTAAATCAAAGCTCACAAAATGCAGAACAACATACCTACAGTACATATTTCGGAAATTCATTGTTTAAATATATAGTTAAAAGCAATAATTTTTCAACTATTTGTGGCGTGTTGTACAAAAAATATAATAAAAATTAAATTTATCGTGTTGCCATGGCAACACTGACGTAACGCGAGCCTGCGTTCAAGTGTTGATCAATTACGAATACTTCATGTTAAATCAATGTTTGGAAAATACATGCGAGGGGTTGCTGCATGCATGTATTTCTAGTTTATTTAGGGACGCCGGAAAGTCGATAATTGGGGGGGGGGGCAGATATTCATATATTCGTGTTCACAGACTGTAAAAACAATCGCTTTCAAAGGAAATAAATTATGCAAAACATGAATATATGAATATCTGCCCCCCCCCCCAATTATCGACTTTCCGGCGTCCCTGAGTTTATCTTTTAATTAGAACAAATTAAAACTTGACCTCACTTGCTTTTCGACGTCGTCTTCGAAGAATGAAAATAAGACATGCCACTGTTACGATGATCACATAAACAACAGCAGCAACGATGGTACCAATCATCTGGGAGTCGAAGTGGACTGAAATTTTTAAAATATCTTTGTTCATTCGAATGGGAAAACGCTTCTTTCGACCTCACCTATCGATTGCCCTGTTTGGTCGTAATAATAGTATGGACAAATTTGTCTCATGACTTCTGGTTGAACATCATGCGCTGTTGCTTAGCTTTGTGAAACCCACCTATTTTGGCAAAATTGGGTCATCATTACTAATAACCATTAGAGGTAGATCTTACCTGGACAAGGTTTCATTTTACATATCCGAGTCTCTTGAGCCGGTCCTTGCTTGCTACAATTTCCTCCATATTTTCCAGGGGGGTTATTGCACTGTCGTATCCTTATTTTCACACCTTGACCACACGTGGCACTGCATGGTGACGTTGTCCAGTTGTCATAGGAACCATCGACTAGAAATAGAAATGCAGAATAAGCTAGCACTGTCCATGGCACTGTGGTATGTACATACAGTGAAACCCCGCATATAAGAACCTAGCATTTAAGAACCTGTTAGGCTAAGAATTATATTTAGACGACATTTAAATAAGAACCTGTTTAGGCTAGAATTTCAAAGCAGGTTCTTAATTTATCATACGGAGTCAAAACTAAAAAGTTATAAATCAAAGAGAATAAGCTTTTCACAAAGTATTGAAAATGACCCAGGACCGTGGAAATATTCTGATAACATGTCCATCAATGAACACAACAACAAACCATTGTATTTCTTCATGACAATCTCAACTACTAGTGAGTGTAAGCAATGTTTTCCAGCATCATGAACTGTTAAATAATTTGTGCATAATTTATATAAATTACTATATACCACACCTATCGAAAACGAGTCGCTTTTTTTAAGAAAATAAAAATCTATTTAAGAACCTGTTTCGCTCAATTTCCTGGTAAGCACCATGCACATAAGAACATGTTTAGGCAAATTTGGAAAAATCTAGGTTCTTGTATGACTTATATGTGGGGTTTTACTGTATTTCCCCCTGTAGCAAGAATAAGGGATGTTTCTTCCAGGCCTTTAGGGAACACAGTTAAGAACTGAAAAGAGCTATCCAGTATGGAATAGTAAGTTTGTAGAAAGTTAGTTTAGTAATTTTAGTTTAGTTTTAACCTTACTTGGACAAGGTGTTCTGCTACAGTTTCTAAACTCAGTCGAGTTCCAAAAACCACTGCAGTTATGACCGCCATATTTTGGTTCAGGATTATTACAAAAACGTCGCCATATTTCCACTCCATCACCACACGAAACATTGCATGACTTACTCAAAGTCCAGTTGCTGTAACCACCATTAACTAAAGATAATAAAAAACCCAAGGGAATTTAAAGGTTGCTTTGTACTGAGAATTTTTTTATTAATAAAGAATTGACATACCAGGGCAAGGCTTTGCTGAGCATGGTCTGTATTCAACAGGTTCTCCCAGCTGACTACAATTTCTTCCACCATACTCTGGCTCAGGATTGTTACACTCTCGTGTCCATGTACGAAAACCTTCACCACAAGTTACATTGCACGTACTGTTTAATGACCAGTTGCTGTAACTGCCATCAACTATTCAAAAAAAGAAAACATTGATGTTTTGTTGCTGCTTTTAAACAACCATGATGTGCTGAAATTTTCTATTTGGATTAACTTGATTTTCTTAAAGCCGATTTGCACTACACAACTATTGCCTAAAACTGTCGCATGCAACCAGCTTACAACTTGTGTTGTACTGTGTAAATCAAATACACAACTAAGACAATGTGGGCTAGTTGTGTGCTTGATTTACACAGTACAAAGTAAGCAGGTTGTATGCGCGGACTGCTCGGAGGTATAAACTAGGGCGCCATGCGACCATATGGTCAAAATTAACTGTTTAATTCTTTTTCAGTTGATTCAACCTCAAACTTTGGTAGTTTACCTGGTATACATTTAGGTATATCACAGCACAATATCACTCTATACCTGGTATACATTTAGGGTTGTCGCAGCACAATATTACTCTATACCTGGTATACATTTAAGGATATCACAGTACTCCCATCCCTTGTTCCTGTCTGTGGTAAAACACCAAGGTCGTTGTCCAGAGTTCTGAGGGTTTCGACAATAACTCTTAGCGTTATTCAGTTCTGGATAGGTTTTGTTCATGGTATGACGATGTGGACATTGCTCCGTCCATGATTGACACGGAATACCTGAGGCTGTTACTGATATGTTGCCATGATAACTGCTCCCGTTTAAGTACAGACAATCTGTGTGGAAAAATGATTGTTAGTCTGGATTCATTGTCCAAGTTTTGGGACACCACATTGTTTACAGATATTGTTATAAATTGTACATAATGTTAATATATATTGTCAAAGTTTATGCTGGATAGCTCTATCAGTTCTAAACAGTTCTCTATTGAGGTCCAGTAAGAGTAATGCCTATTTAGGTCCATTTCTACAACTGTACAAGAGGAAACACAAACTAAACTAACTTTGTGTTTCCACAAACAAAACTATTATATATTTTATCGCCGTGCAAACATACAAAGAACTTATAAACTAACTTTATTTATACTGGATATAGCTCTAACAACTCTAAATTGTTCTCTCTAGAGGTCCAGTAATGTTGATCCCTTATTGTTCCAGTGTTGCCACAGGGGAAAACATAAACTAAATAACTATATTTATACTGGAAACCTAAACTGAACTAAAATTATTTATACTTGATTAGTTCTGAATTGTTCTTTGCTGAGGTCCAGAAAGGTATATTCCTAATAGGTCTGTTGTTATTGGAAGTGGTGTTATTGGATTGGCAGTGAAACACATGTGCTGTTTGGAAGAGCTTATAAATTAAAGCTTTCTTCTCCCAAGCGACTAACCCTTGGTTTGATTTAGGCCGCTCTGGGTTCTTACCTGCGTTTGTAGCCCATTCTGGAGCTGGAAATGCATCTAAAAATGTGTTGCAATAAAGAATATGATGATTAGACGATAAACGCTGGTTGAGCCACGAGTGGTAGTGTATATGCTCTACCAAGAATACCTATACTAAAAATGCCTCTGGCTTCATTCATATCACCCATGTCTGACTACAGAACACAACCAAGGAGGAAGGGTTAGTTTTCGATGATGGAGTAAAATGAGAAGAAGTCTTTGTCAAATGAAAATGAGAGTTGATTATAATGTTACCTGTAGACTTTGCGAGTTCATTGAAATACCAGCATTCTGGTGAGTCACCGGCATTTCTAGTCGGCTGTAGTTCGCCAAGATAGAGCTTCTTTTTCTCCGGGAATTTAATTATATAATACCTTAAGAACATTTCAAAAAGTTTACCACACATGTGAGGTAATTCAAGATATGATTCACGACATATCTTTTGTTCTTTAAACACGCTTTGGGTTCGATCACAACTGGGAAAAAATAGATGACAATACACTATGGGTAAAACTTGTGCGCACTTTCTAATAGTTCCGATGTCAACTTCGAAAAACCGATTTAATTGTGATGCGCCTATCTTCACCACAGCATCGTAGTCCGCGTTAGCTTCATTGTTTCTATTATTCTGATAGTCGGGTGTCTGATATACGTAGTTGGGTAAAGTGATTCCATGATTTTGACAAAAAGGACGGGTAAAGTTTACCAAAGGATAACACGAACTCGACTTTAGCGTTGGTTCAGCTTCGGCAGGAATGCACGTTCTATTCGTCCTATACCGATACAAAGATTGAACAATCACTAAGATATAATAGTTTTAAATCTACGTCTACGAAACAATTGTTAAAACTTGCGTATGGCAATGGGTGAATACAATAATGAAGAACGACGCTTCACCGTTAAGCCACAATGATGCTTAAAGCCCTGTACATGCAGACGAGCACTGAAATTTTCCTTGATAAGTTTGATTTGTTCGTGCGTACGGAAAAACTTGACAAATTTTTCGTTGACAAGGAGCTGTGTTAACAGCTTTTCAACTAGTAAATTTGCTCGTGTGCGCGACCACCAAAGCAAATTTGACAAGTATAATTGCCCAGTACTTCACTGAGTAAATCTCGTTTATTTTGAAATTCGCTTTTAAAGTGTGGTATCGCAGACGGCTTCAATTCAATTGTTTATAACTTTGTTCATTTGTTGGAAGCAGCTCCGAACAAAAATTATAGTAACTACTTCGTGTAAGGAACACATAATACTTATAACACAGGTAATTAAAAGTAGGTTAAAACAGTCAGATGGTGTTAAAACTTGGGTTAGGTTAGGGTCAGAGTTATGACTAACATTTATGATCACACTGAAATTGAATTGGTGGTCTTACATGAAGTACTTTCCATAATTATGAAATTGCTTACCTCAGTGTTGCTTACGTACTCAAATAGTGCTGGTTCGTAAGACTTGTCAAGGAAAAATTGATCGGAAAAAACTTGTTCGTCGTCCACACGAGCAAGAAAACTCGTTGAGGAAATCTTGCTGGTCTGTACGGGGCGTAATGTGTTTTTTATCAGAAAAGCGATTCAGGTTAGACATTTGATTTTAAACTAGACTGCGTGTTTTCCAGCGAATCGAGTTAGAATCGAATGTCTAGCTTGCAGGAATATGTGTCTTCATCGTTGTCCACCATTCCATCTACAGTCACTTCCACTGGCATGCAATTTAGAGTAATTTAGAGAAGATTGTAATTTAGAGAAATATTGTACCTGTTTTTGTCTTGAAGATGATGTTCACCTGTTAGTGTGAGGAAAACGTTAAATTAGTAAAAGTTCAGGTTACACGTGGAATTTTTCTTTGGAGCTGGCAATGGAACGAGATTACTGGGGCAAGAGAAAAAATCGCACGTGTATCATTTCGTGCGTTGCAACGCAATCTCACGAATTTGGGGGGGGGGCATTGATATCCTGGGAGGGGGTGGCAGAGCACAAAGGGAAAGTGATGGAAAATGAAAATTTCCTGTAACTACCTGGAATATACAGAAATATACAGAAAAAATTCCTGCACAGCTTCTCCATCGCAAAAAATTCAACAAAGTTCCGAACTTAACAAAAATGTCTGGCAAGGAAAACTTCCCTCGCGCACAATATCTAATACTTCACACCCGAATTGAATTCAGAATCCACAATGAAAGAAATTCACGTAGTGCTCGCTGGTAACAAGATGGCGGTTCTTAAAATATTTGCATGATTAAATTATGAAATTCTGTGTGATTCTCAAGCGGGTTTCATGTACTTGTAATAATTTTGGTTTTTTAAGGACTTTTCAAGCGGCTTTGAAGTTGTTTTTTAATTTACGCACTTCTCACGGAGTTGTACGAGCCATTTGGAGAGGATGCACACAATCTAAAGTCCGAAGTGCGTAGGAGGCGAACGGTGCTTGCTCTAGAGACTATTATAATGCACCATCCAAGCACTGCAGACTCTAAATTCAGGCTAATTCTTGCCTCGAAACCGGTCCGTTTGTCTATCTGTTTGTCTTGGGTACATTTTATAATCTAGGCACAATCTATAAAATGCGCAGTGCAACAATGAAGTGGCTTATAAAACTACCAGACTTTACCTGAAACATTTGTGATTATAATCGTTGCTAAAGTCAATATAGTACCACCACCATTATTAAAACAAACGACCCACATCGTGAATTGTGCGCGTACAACTTCGTTAATGCCCAATCGATGGATGCAATTTTTTCCCAGCTCAAAATTTCAACAATCTTTTTGGTGTCAAGTTGCTTACAGCTGAATTATATTTCACTGACTGATGTAACGGTAATACTTCCGCGTAAACAGACATAAAACAACTTCCTTGATCAAAGCGTTTCTATTCGTGGAAAGCACCCAAGCATATACTGTATAATGATAATAGACAATTCATTCGAGTGATAATTATTGACGGAATTCAAAGACTCTTAGTCTAGCCAGACTTCCCGCACTAGCTGTGACACTTCCTTGTATTCCCTGCTTGGGAAGGAGTCAAACTTTCAAATGTGAAAAGCAAAATGCAAAAAAGTTCAACATTTAGCCTACCTTCACACCGGATCGAACGACTTTGAAACCAGTCCTTTGTGAATGGAACCTAAAAAAATGATAAACTAGAAGTTACTATCGCAAGGAAAATGCTGCCTCACCCCCAAGGGATGAAGGCAGCATTAGCAATTTGCTGAATAAGGGTCCTGTTTATATGATCCCACTAGGACGAGATATGAGGCAGGATGATTTCGATATACTGAATTAAATCACGGTGCATGATTCAGCAAACAGGGACGTCGCTACAGGGTGTGTGTGGAGGGTGTAACATCCCCCCCCCCCCAATAATTCTAAATGTTGGTGAAAGTTGGTCAAAATGGAACTAATATTTGTTTAAAATAATTGAAGGTCAAAGTTGGTAAGATTCGGTCAAAGTTTGAGATAAAAGACTATCATAGTTATGATATCGTTCGCAATGTTAACAATTTCTAAGCTTTGGTCATGTTTGCGCTGACTGAACAATTGCAAGCCTTGCTTATTTTGGTCGAAAATTGGTCAAAATTCTAGGAAAAGTTGGTCAAAACATGACGACCCCCTCCCCCCAATGCTGATATCTTCACGACGTCCCTGCCAGCAAAAAACTTCATTATTTTCTATAGATGGATGGACTATAGTTAACTATAAACGAAAGGTTGTTCAAACATAATAACTTTCTTGAACCACGCGATCTTCTCTACAACATTTGAGTTCTGTTAACCAGCATTTGAAGTTCATTTACATAGTGACTAATATTTCAATACATCAAAATCATTGCCTTCCATCATGCAAACAGCCCCCAAAACTCCTGTTCAGGAGGTATGAAAAGTGCAATTTGAATATCAAACACCTTGCACAAAGTCGAAGGCGGCTAAATGTTCTAATTCTACTTTCTTTGCATGGGCCATGGGCGGTTTTATATGAATATCTTCAATGCTTATAACTTCTTGCTTTTGTATGTATATAAATCATAATACTGTCAGTGGTGAAGCTGGCCATAGCAACAGGTCATGCTATGCAAGTTTTTAATGATTTGCATTGTTCAAATAGATGCAGGTTTATTAGCATAGCATGGTCAGTTGCCACGGCTTGCTTACCACTGAATACTGTACAATGTTTGTATAAAGTCTATAAAGATACTAAAGCCAGTTTTCCACTTCGTCTTAACGTATCGTAGCATTTGCTTTTGTGTTCATATTATGCTAACAATTAATGGACATATCTCAGAGGCCTCAAAGAAAGATATATAATATATATAAACAGACAGTCATGTCTTATACCTGTACAAAAATCATGTTGGAAACAGACTATAAATAGGTTATGAATAAACACTAGATATGAACACCATATAAGGACATAATTACTATATGATTGACATTTAGCAAAAACAACAGAGTACATTGCGAGCGAGAGAGAAATAGGTGTGTAAACATAATACAACATACGAAATAAAATCAAATAATTTGGCGATTAAAAACACAGTGAATTGTCGTGAAGGACGGCCCTTTTAGTAGAGCATTCCGACAGTCAGTTGACATACTATTACATGTATTAAATTGCTAGCTGGTGTTTATATATTATAAAAGTCAATATGTGCAGACCGTGCTGCAGACAACAATCCACATTGGGTTGCTCTAGGAATCTTATTACAGTAAGCCTGATTAAACAACATTCCGCGTTTATTTTCAAACTATAAACATCTACAAACTGAACACTATATATACTCATGGTTTTGGCTGGCTTGCACATATCAATAAACTCATAATCAGTTAAAGCACATCTCTTGCCTCTAGAATTTTCGAACGCTAAACAGTTCATCGCCTTGATGGCTATTAACACAAATAAATAAAGCCATAGTTACTTGGTTTCTTCGGGAAGTGTTCGTATATTTTGCATCAAGTCAGATCCAGAATAAAAAGCTTGCAAATTATGTGCACGCAATTCAATATTTTTCTCGCACTCCCCCCGGTGTCCCCCCGGAATTACGACATCTTAAATATGGACAGACACAAGATCTAGATCTCGACAACACATAGATCGGCGCGAAAGACTGGGTCGAGTGAACTCTGGAGCAAGATTAGGAGTGCTGCCTTCGGCAGCAAATATACATACTAAAATTAAATTTAAAATAATATATTTTTAATACATATCGGCATGTTTCAAAACATGTGTTTGAAGTCAAGAAACAGCAACAATCGGAGCAGCCCGAACTACTGGAAATGCTCGGAAATGCTCGAACTCGAACATGATATTTTTATAGTTCAATGGATCCAAACTCGAAGGTTCTTCCCGTTTTGCACACAGCAAAAAAAGCCCGAGAAACATAGAAAAATAGTGGAGTCCAAATGTGTCTACTACATCCAATTGCAACTAAAAACAAATTACAAGAGGGCATGCACTCAATATCATTAACAAAGAATGAGGAAAACCATTAATATGTTGCTGCATAACTCAGGGTCCTGCATGCATAAATTAAACACTTTTATGAATTTCTCTTCAATTGTTTTGAAAAATCATTTACAAATGAGTAATTCTCCTTGGCGTAATAATAAAAGGAGTAATTCTCCTCATTAGCTTCATATTGAACGATCATTAGCTTCGTATTGAAATTTTATTAAGTAACATATATATTATTGTGATGAAAGGCAAATTTAAACAATTGTGCACGCAAAAAAACCCTGCAAAACTGAAAAGGACACTAAATTTTTAACATAGGGTAACACCATTATTTTAAACAAATCTACCTAGTACACAACAATCTCAGAAAAAAATTAGCATGATTGCTTAAATACTTTTTGAGTTATTTCTGCGGAGCGAGCGAGCTCGAAGCGAGCGAGCGAAGCAGCAGTCTAATTTATGCAGAGAGGCGACTGTTCAGTATTTTTTTCTAGCGCGCTGCATTGTGGTCGTGCTCAGTTATTGTGCGCAGTACACCTAATTCACCCGACTCCATGTGCTTTGACTCACTACACTACAGGCTAGTAGCTAGATTAGTTTTGGTTCCTTAGTTTAATACTGCGCCTAGCAAAAGCTTGTGTTATATAATTTACCTGTACGTCTTAAGAATGCGTTGTCGTTTGTATTTAATATACGCGCGTACTAAAGCAGCGCGTAATTCAACAGATTTCATTTGCCGGTACTTGGTCTTGGAAATATTACATATTCATGCTCTACGTCTTAAGAATGCTTTGTCGTTTGTTTTTATACGCGTACTTAAGCGGCGCATAATCGAACAGATTCCACTCGGTCTTGAAAAATCGTCTTGTTCATGGAAACCGGTGTGAGTTTGGGCTCAACGTTCTTGGTGACCACGGAACCACATGTCAAACTCACTGGAATCTTCTCCCAGATCCTTCTTTGCTGTTGCATATTCCATACATAACTTTGATTCAAAGTCATAGTCAAGTACCTCACCGGTTTCAACTGAAATGACAAAGTCCACCCCGAAATTTGCTGTGTACCCTCTTTTGGACCACGTTCCGTCATAGCTAACAGCAATCTCTGCAACATTTGATTCATTGCAACTTTGGCGTGAAAAGACTTTATCCCTGGCCCGCTGTAACTGTTCAGCAACAGCTTTCTCATGGGTTTAATACAATGCAGCAACATGGTTATCCAAAGCTTTATGATGGCAAGGCGGAGGTATATTGAAAATGTCACACATAACCGACATTCCTTCTCGTCCCACTCCCAGTTCCATTGCTGAATAAACCATTCGCCTATTGCTGTCCATGGAATTTTGAGGCTTCTACACTTGGCTCTTGTTCCCAGAAATATGAAGCTCAATTTTGGTATCACACTCAGAGCAATCTATGTTGATAACCGAGCTACATCCATACCTCCTAGTCGTCTTTAACTTTCAACTCTCGCCCAAATTCACAATTATGAAAAGGTTGAAATGCACTTACTAAACTTGCCAGTTCAACGAGTCTATAACTGTGGAAACCATACAAAACGTTTCTATCGGTAGTTTGGCTTGTAATCTTTCGTACCGAAACTGTATCAATGACTGGTGTAGATACACATGGAGACAAAAAATGCTGTTGTTTAAAGTTGAAACAGGTTCGGGAGAGCTGCAGATCTTGCAACATCCCATCGTCTTTGTCCACGAAATCGCTCAATTCTTTTTCGAAACCTTTGGCATTGCCAAGAGAATATAATCTCTAGGAAACTACATACAGTTACAAAACGGCAACAGTGTTTTCGTTTTATACTCTTTACTCTCAAACAATGAAGCAAAATATAATCCTGCATGCCTTGGCAACCAGGCTTCAACCTTGTTACCAGTCCCTTAGGTTGCGGAATATCATGAATAGGTAAAAAATTCAAAACACCAACAAATAACCAAAAAACAAGACCTAACAAACAACAAATACAAACTAGTGTCCATGGCAACAGTAAAAATGGTTACATACCCTTCCCAAAAGACGAAATTTTGAGAAAGAGGAAGGTCATACCAGACATGTCTTGCCTGTCAGAAACTTCTAGGACTACTAATGATGCTTTTCAGAGAAAAAATTTTCGAATTTGAAAGTTCTTCAATAGAGTGGTGTAACTGGATTGTGGCTAGAATATCGAAATATTATTGCACCACAAGCCCGTAGCTGGCTCACAATTTCTGGGGGGGGGGGGCACAGCAGAAAGAATGTAAAAGAGGGTTTGAGATGAGGGGTTGAAATGTTGTTTTTTTTCTGACGACACCCCCCCCCCGTCGACAACTTTTTAGGTAAAAAAAATTTCCGGACGAGTACAGTGCAATTGGTTTCCAGGTCCTTTCTCTCAATTTTTCATACCATATTTCGGTACTTAGCCCCCCCAAAATAACAACATTAACAGCTATTAGTTCTGCAAAACGTAAGATGGGGGGGGGGCATAATTTCAATTTTAACGCACGTTATTACAAATACTTAACAAGGAAGTTGATCATGAAAGATATGAAATTAAAAAGAAGCTGAGAGTCATGATGAGGAAGAAACCACAGAGCCTGACGAAAATAACCAAATTTGGAAAAAAGTGAAAGTGGTGTGAATGCGTAGTTTTCTCTAAAGTTTTTGCTTCGAAGAAAAGGAACTGATACGGTGATCATACGCAGAGCCTTGTTCAGAGACAATCGAGAAGATTTTGGTGAGAATACATTTGAATATATATATATCCACGATTGTATAATAATCAAGGAAGCAAATGCATGATAGCTACTACATATTGAACAGAAAATCGATTGCGGCTATTGTTGCCACCAGAAATGGGACAGAGAGCTCGAATTTCCATATCTGAAACACTGTGATCGCCAAGCACTAAAATGTCTGCCAACAGGCTGGTTAGCATCATTGCAAATGACTGCACACCGATGTTCACCAAACCTTGTATTCAAAGGTCTAGCTAGCATCCAGTTTCTCCAATATAAAAAGCATGCCACATCTACTGCATGAGATGCAGTAGTGAGATGGGACGAGGTGCCCGTGAAAAGGTGCTTGACATAGTAATAGTATTGAGATTTTGGTTCCGAAATGGTGGTGGCAGAATCTATAAAATGACTGAACCTGAGATATGGAATCGACCTTTCGGTATGGTTGGGGTGGGAACAACCTCGTCCCCAGGGCTTTTTGAGGAAGGAGGCGAAGGGTAGCGAAGCTGCCCTTCGCATATTTCCTCAAAAGGCCCTGGGGACGAGGTTGCGGGTGGGAAGAGGAAAATAGAAGATAGTTATGGGAGTCAGTGGGCTTGTAGAACACAGGAGTAACTAGTTTATTACCATTGATTGACACAAGGATATCTAAGAATGATACACTGGTCTCACTGATCTCTCATGTGAACTGGAGTGCTGGATGGAAGTTATTAACAAAGTTATTAGTTAACATGCACCGAAGTACATAAACGAACGTATATTCACTTGCAAACGTAAGAAATTGAATTCTGATTAGCTCCACATGTAATATGCATGTGCAAATGAGACCATATATGCATATTGTTTGTAAAATGTGCGAATTCTAAAGACTTTATCATGTTGTCAGTTAATCACAATTTCGATTTGAAGCTATATCGACATGTGTAGATCACTGAAGTCTAGAGATTTTGCCTTGGCCTAACGTATTATCGCATCGTGGAAAAATATGTTTGTATATACAATGTTTTCATTCTTGTGCAGACATATCTTCCATTCCATGTATATTAAACTATTTGAATCTTAAAATTAAGAATGTTATGCCAGCCAATTACCACCTTGCTAATGAAGAAATCAAGAGCGTAAATATCCGAAAAGATCTCGGGATATTCATCAGTGATGACTTAAAATGGTCAAATCAGATTGCCCATGTGGTTGCTAAAGCCAATCGAATGCTCGAATTCTTAAGACGCCATTGTACGCAGCTCACCAACACCCACTGCCGTCGCCTGCTATATTTAACATTAGTAAGATCTCACTTGTCTTACGGCAATGAGATTTGCCCCCCCCCCCCCAAAGGATCATCGCAAGACTTTGTTCTAATACAAGGCATTCAAAGATGGGCAACAAAGTTCATGACGCAAGACTACAATTCCTCGTACTCTTCCAGATTGAGAAGTTTAAATTTACTACCAATCTCCCACTCAAATTAAAGATCTGACATTTTACTATAAATGCAAATCTGCATTGTGGCTACAAAGTAGATATAGACAAATATTCCACTCAACCTTCCCTTCACGCTACTCGTTTCAGTTCATCCGACCTACGCCGACTTAACCTTTGTAAATCCTCAACTTCAGATCGTCCTACTTCAACAGAATAATACAATCTTGTCTAAAAGTACACACGAGTGACCACGAGCGATTTCTGTGTTTAAAAATCATAAGATAATAAAACTGAAAAACTATTTTAAGGTGGCTCCCTAAGGTTTTTGCATTATACTACACTATGGTATCCAGAAAACTCCTGTTTCTTCACTTTACATCACATGAAGACGAAATTTATTGGACATATTGATCTTCTGAACATTGCAATTTGCTTCTTTTGTGCTGAACGTCCGATAAAGCTCAAAATGTTCGGCCATAGTTTAAAAATTCGCTTTGGTAAATTTTTTTAACACTTTGCATAAAAGATAATTCTCGTATAATGATTTTCCCCTCAATTTTAAAACATTCTGCCAGTATGTTTCTTAGAAAATTTCAAAAACGTCACAAATCAAAATTAAAAAATTTCCCTTCGATAAAAAAGGATATTGAGCACATTGTTAGCTGATATTAAGAAATGTGCAAAGTTTTAAAAAATTTTACAGAAGGAAAAGGGAGAAATTCAGGTTTAATTTTGGCATTTTTTGCGAGATGTGACGTGTACAATTATCACATCTGACGTGTACAATTGTCGAAAAACTTTGCACATTTCTTAATATAGGCTTAACAAGCTCAATATCCTTAAAATTTTATCAAAGGGAATTTTTTTAATATTGATTTGCGACGTTTTTGAAATTTTCTAAGAAACGTTCGATAGAATTTTTTAAAATTGAAGAAAAAATTCATTATACAAGAATTATCTTTTATGCAAATTTTTGAAAAAATTACTTAAAATTAGCATAATTGGGCCCAAATTCATCTTCACAATGGATGTCAAATCCTAGCTTATACACTGTAATTCCGCATCATGATGGTTTAAGGGCCCTCAAATTCAATTGGAGGCAGTAAAGATGTACTAACCTTTACTGATGATTAAATATGTGACGGTGTATTTTTTCAAAAGTAAGCCTGACGTTTCGCAAAATTCCGAGAGTGTACAAGCATGATGGAAAATACTACAGGCAGGAGAGTAGCAAGCATAAAAAAGTTGGGGGGGGGGGCACCGGTTTCGAAGGGCACTTTTGGAATGAAAAGGGCACCTAAAAAATTTTTTCCGGAAATGTTGGCGACGGAGGATGGGGGGGGGGGGAGTAGGAAAAATAAATGCAATCATAAATCAAAGGCCGTAATTGAGGTCGACCCACGGATGAGATCAGATGAAGGTGACAGAAAGAATTAAAGCAGTTTGTAGATGTTTTTGCAAACGAGCACCATGCAAATTTTTGCCATTTGTCGTGCTCCAGCCCGATTTCGCAGCCAAGGAATGCGCTGGCAGCAGGCTGGTAATTTCTCATTGTTTAACTGACACACTCAAGTAATCACAAAGACTCACAGATATTGCTTAGCAACATCCATGAGTCAAAAATGCATCTGAACAACACTTTTCACAAAGGCAAAGGGCACTTTGCCACCGGAAAAAAAGCACTTGTGTCTTCTGAAAACTCCTCGGTTCTTATGCCCCTGACTACTGGTTTCAAGATTCAAACCCTAAGAAGTGATAATGGCAGGGAGAACACATGTTAAGAGTTTACCCAATTTTGTAGAAGTAAAGTTATATATTGTTCACCAATATACCAACCCGTACACTTCCGAGTAAAATGGCGTCTCAGAGAGACTAAATCGGACATTGATCGAATCGGCTAAATCAATAATGTTCCATGCTGGTTTACCTCAATGTTTCTGGGTCGAAGCAGTCAACACAGCTACTTACCTTCACAACAGAAGTCCGATAAGCTCGCAACCTGACAAAACACCATATGAATGCTGGTATGGTAGAAAACCTAATGTATTCGGCATTCGGGTCAATTTGTTTTGTGTTTATTCTGGACAGTTTAAGACGAAAACTAGATCCCAAATCTCAAAAAGGAATTTTCGTTGGATATCCACTCCAAACGAAAGGCTATGACATAGAGTTGAAGCGTTTTATTCGAAGTAAAGATGTGTTTTCTCATGAAGATAAGTTTCATGACTTTCGATTATCAGTATCTGTCAAGGAAACTGTTTTGTTTGAAGATGTTGATAGCCATATATTGATCATGAGAATGAAATGCACACCAATATTAGAGTTAATCCTGCAATTCCAGTTGAAATAGAGTCAGAACATACACCAGCACTGGGAGTTACCCAGTGGGAGTTACCCTACCTATGAATTATTTTTGAACTACATATGAATTATTTATGAGGCAAGTTGCAAGTATCGGCCCAAAAAGACAAAGCAAACCTCCTGTCTCCTGAAGACTTTTACAAGATGAATGGAATGTCGCCACATCATTAAAAGCTGATCATGATTAACCAAAGTCTGTAACTGATGCTCTGAATGGTAAGAAGTCTGCGAAATGCAAACAAGCCTTTGAAGCTGAGTACAATTCTTTGGTGAAGTGCGAGACATGGGATTTGGTCCCTCCTCCTGACGATGCGTGTATTGTCGGATCGAAGTGGGTTTTTAAATATAAACGTAAAGCAAATGGTGAAGTTGGCAGGGATATTCCCGAACGTATGGTATAGATTATCCCGAGCCAACGGCACGGAACGTCGTTCCTGGCGTAAGCCCGGGGCTAAGGTACTAATCCCGCCCGGCTATTTACACCAGGGGAAAGGAAAACATTAGCGAAGTCTAAACACTAAAGTTCATCCACAATAGCAGGCGCATGGTGTATGAATGGTCATCTCACTGATCTCAAAATATGGCTTTTTTCCAGGAGTGAAGAAAGTAAAAATATAAAAAATGCAATGAATAATAATATTTCAGGATTCAAGGATAAAACTAAGAAGCTAAAATACAAATAATGGTAATCACTTGAACAAAATGCAAAAAAGATTCAGTTTCTTTCTTCCTGATCTTTTCTTCATATCAGAATGCTTTTAAGCATTAAAAGCTTTTATTACTTGAAATGTATAGAATACAGAAAAAGATATATGGTGCAATCATAGTACAAAACATACTACAACTATAAAATTGATGTACTAATATTTTATCAAAAATGATATGCAATAATTAAGTGCTTGCATGATCAAATGCAACATTACATAAGATATATAATAAGCAAAATTGTGCAGGTGTGATACAAATACTATGTGAAATTATTATTTTTGTCGTGTAGACCTGGACGGAAACTAAGTTCGACCATAAAAAAGTGCTTGCTGCAGGTAAGTTACAATGTTTTCTACTTTTCTACATTATTTTGTCAGTCGTGAAGCATTTCGTCTAATACGCTAAATTCTAACAAAAATGCATTGCGTTATTCTTCATAATAAGGATCGAAGCGATGATTTTCGTGAGAGCCGACTTGGGAAGAATTTAATTCAAAAACGACAACTGGTTGTCTTTTCCCAGCCGTCTTGTTCTTGAAATAACATACCTTAAATGAAGAAGATTGTGTACATGTTAAGGTTTGAAAAGAAATGATTCACGTAAACATGTTTCGCTGCTTGCAACTTTTGCTCATATTTGACTTCAAAAGGTAGAATACAGCAAGTACGTTCATGTATAGATGCAATATTTTTATTCAATGATACTGAGTTTCTCAAGTAGTTTTTGACGATTTACTACGGTTCTTGCCAGTTTCAAATTATTAAAATGTTGGGTTCATAGCGTTGCAAAGGGATAGCGTGAGTGGCAGAAGGAATATTATACATATTGCTGCGAATTAGGCATCATAACAAAAAGATAAAGGCATACAGCATAGACTTTGGCCGAGTTTCCGAAGACTTTGGTGGATTGTTTATATCTGGTCAGGAGCGAGCGGCCTGCAGATTACATTGACCGTTAAACGGCTACATAATATTTTATTGGACCTAGTGTAGAATATCGATGTCTCAACTGAGAAATGTTTACTCTACATCAACTGCATGTTCATGTCCATTATTATATATTGCATGGTATAGTATACTACACCTGAGTAGACGACTTGCTGCTCTAACCCTTGCAATATGGGTGTATAACTGAGCCGGCGTCTTGCTCTTATTAATTTTGTATATTAATACTTACGAGGCACACAGCCAGAATGACACAAACCAATGCTGCTGATCCAATGGCAACTACGGCACCAATGAATGCATTGCTATCTCCTCTTTCATCATCCTCATTGTTAGGACTTTCAGTCGTAGGAGGAGCAGTGGGAGTAATTTGTTTCTGGAGAAATGAAGTATCAGAGCGAAGTTCACCCAAATTGCCATTTTCGTCACTAGCATCAACAACTGCCCTTGCGAGACTACTAGTGCTGACATGGGTACTTTCAGATGAAAACTCAGTATGGATATTGGCGATGACACTTCCTTCCTCAAAATCCACGTCAGATATTCTAAAAAATCCTCCCATCTTTTCAAATACGAGTAGCAGACTTGCTTCTACCATACTTCTAAGGTTTTTATAATCGATACTGTTTTTGTCTCGATAGCTCTCCACAAATCCAACATTCAGTATCCTCATCTGTACCGGTACAATATTGATTGTAGTGGCTTGCGTTGAGGAAGTTGGACTACCCGTATTACCAGTTTCTGTGGGTTGCAGCTGGGGCGTGGTGGAGGATGGTTCAGGAACTAGGGTACTCGATTGTAGTGATGAGAATGGTTCAGGAACAATGGTACTCGATTGTAGTGATGAGGATGGTTCAGGAACTAGGGTACTCGATTGTAGTGATGAGGATGGTTCAGGAACAATGGTACTCGATTGTAGTGATGAGGATGGCTCAGGAACTATGGTACTCGATTGTAGTGATGAGGATTGCTCAGGAACTATGGTACTCGATTGTGGTGATGAGGATGGTTCAGGAACAATGGTACTCGATTGTAGTGATGAGGATGGTTCAGGAACTAGGGTACTCGATTGTAGTGATGAGAATGGTTCAGGAACAATGGTACTCGATTGTAGTGATGAGGATGGCTCAGGAACTATGGTACTCGATTGTAGTGATGAGGATTGCTCAGGAACTATGGTACTCGATTGTGGTGATGAGGATGGTTCAGGAACAATGGTACTCGATTGTAGTGATGAGGATGGTTCAGGAATTATGGTACTCGATTGTAGTGATGAGGATGATCAGGAACTATGGTATCGATTGTAGTGACAGGAACTATGGTAATCAGAACAATGGTACTCGATTGTAGTGATGAGGATGGTTCAGGAACTAGGGTACTGATTGTAGTGATGAGAATGGTTCAGGAACAATGGTACTCGATTGTAGTGATGAGGATGGCTCAGGAACTATGGTACTCGATTGTAGTGATGAGGATTGCTCAGGAACTATGGTACTCGATTGTGGTGATGAGGATGGTTCAGGAACAATGGTACTCGATTGTAGTGATGAGGATGGTTCAGGAATTATGGTACTCGATTGTAGTGACGAGGATGATTCAGGAACTATGGTAATCGATTGTAGTGACGAAGATGGTTCAGAAACTATGGTGCTCGATTGTAGTGATGAGGATGGTTCAGGAACTATGGTACTTGATTGTAGTGATGAGGATTGTTGTAAACCAATGGTACTTGACATTACGGACGCTGGTTCAGTGCTGATTAAAGTTGTGGTTGGCAGAACGTTGGGAGAAACAATTACATCAACAACAACAGTCAAACTTAGTTCTCGAGCACATGGTATAACGCCTTGATCTTGCGCTACAATGGTCAACAAATAAGCACCAGGTCGAAGAATGCTGTTCGCTAAAAGGGTGCCATTTGAAGTTATGAAAAATTTCTGATCTGGATCGGATTCCTCTGTAATAGAGTATTGTATCTGACCGTTATCTCCATAATCGTCGTCATTTGCCAGAATTTCTACTGGTATTTTGTAATTTCCTGGAAATGTTTTAAATACAGGGCAATTGTCGTTCTCGTCTTTCACAGCAATCGTAACTGTCGCTTCAGAACTTCGGGTTGGGATTCCATTATCTATCGCGCCAACCGTAAATGTAAATTGTTTTTGAGAAATACTTTCGTAGTCCAAAACACCGTCAGCAGCAACTGTGATCTCCCCGCTGTCTTGGCTAATCATGAACAAATTCGCAATGTTTTCTTCTTCGATTGAATAAGAAATTTCCCCGCTCCGTCCGTGATCGGAATCATTTGCAGACACTGTCAATATAACAAAACCTTTCCCTCGGTTTTCAGACACGACTGCAGCGTAAGATTCGTTTAAGAATATAGGGGTATTGAGGTTTACAGCTATCTCTTCAGTGCAGTTTACACCGTCATATTGCTCAAAACATTCACACTTGTTGGGAGAAACACATAGTCCATTCGATGAACAGTTATTCACATCATAACACGTCGGAGTTTCGCAAGATAAACCAATCCAGTTATCAATGCATTGACATTTTTCGTAATCCACACACATTCCGTTTCCTGTATGAAAATATCATTCAAGATTGCTTATGTTACATATAATTTATATAGTTGCGTTTTAATTTTCAATTTGAGAATACCGTGGAAAAATACTTTTATTTTGTTTCAAAAAGCATAGTTAGCATAATTAGCTAGTATTGTTACAATACACAACACATAAGGGTTAAGTTGTTGTATCGCCGGCGTATATAAAACGTCTTGCACTGACCTGAACAACGACTTCGTGTTTCACACGATAAATCCAAGCACATTGCGCCTTCAAAGCCTGAGCTGCACGAACAAAGATTAGGTTCCATGCATGCGCCATTTCCAGAACAATCATTGACGTCTGAGCAATCATACTGACTGCAGTTGGATCCAGCAAAACCCAGGTAGCAACTAAAAAAACAGCAGTTTATACAAAGTAGTAGAAGATCTGAAGATTCAACATTTTTGCAATAATGCAGAATATCAATGAACTATAAGAGTCTAATTCCATATACGAAGCTTATCTACGCGATTGCATCAGTGCAATTAAACATTGCCAACTGCATTTAAAATGGCTTGCTCGTAAAAATGAGGGTTTAAAGCGTGACAAATTGGAAAAGTCTGAAATAGGCTAAATGAAAAACAAGCCCAACAAGTTGATGTACTAATTCAGTTCATCGCATGATTGATAAAACCCGAGTATACCATTAACAATGACATGCATGCATATATACATGTTGGAAAATGCCAAATTTTTACCGGTCAAGTTGGCTGGTGGCAAACTTAATGTATATCAAATTATTTGTATTCTGATGGTTGTTAGAGCACATATTAGATAGCTAAAACAGGCATTTTGCACTTGAAGATGCTGTTATGCAACCCTGATTATTTTTGGCGTTTTTTATTTATTTAGCTTATTATATTTGCGAAATAAATCAATCCTGTTTGACGAATTTAATTTATACGTATCTGGCACAATAATAACACCACGGCATTGGTAGGTTAATTGATTGTAATGGAAATATTTTACATTTTAGTATCAAAACAAATTTGAACATAATGATGTAAACACTAGTTCAATTTAGATACATTTACGATCGCTAGACAATGCATGGCGAGCATCCATGGTTATGCTTAGACTTGCTCCAAGTCTCTCTTTTGTCATTTAGTATCGATCCACTATAGTGTACATTACATGACGTAGTACGGAGGGCGGAGCGAGAAAGAGAGACTTGTCAACTTCGGAAAATCTCGGTTCAAAACTCAACCGAAAATGCAAGGCTTGCTTTAATTGTTTTCTGTCAGTGTTTATATGTATTCATCTAGCACAGTGTAAATAACATGAGTTCCATTATAGTAAATAATACAGAAAGAAATTGAAGAAAAACAATTAGAGCAAGGCTCGTATTTTTGGTTCAGTTTTGAACCGAGATTTTCCGAAGTTGACAAGTCTCTCTTTCTCGGTCCACCTCTCCATGCCACGTCATGTAATGTACACTATAGTGGATCGATACTATATGACAATGAAAGAGAGACTTGGAGCAATAGGCCGTTTGCTGCGTCCCGATATCGTTCATTTTCGTAGTGCATGTGGTGGAACTGAAATATTTTTACGGGAACTGGCACTTTCAAACACGCTGAGTTCAAATCCGAAAAGTTCCCGCTCCGTAGCCGTAGGTCTTGCGTTTTCTCACAAACTAGTATTTTACTTTCTCTAATTTCACGACTAACTTTTTCTTTGTTCAATGACACGGACGGACGATATGACACACTCTTATGTCACTCAAACGGACTAATTTCTATTAACTAGTCTTCCTTTTAACAAAAGACCGTTTCGCTCAAATCATTTTGAGTTATGTAATCTTATGCGTGTTGAACGTAACTGAACATATATTGTTTCCAACTTTTGGATGGTACAGATAACGCTATCTAGCATCCACAGTTCTAGCGATATCTCTATAAAATCACAAGGACGTTAATGCTAAGTCTTTTGGCTATGTCACTGGCTTGATAAATAGCTCGTTTAGCACAATCATGGTATTTAAAACAACATGCAGTAACGCAAAGCCAAAGTAACGGCAAAGACAACGGCTAACATGAAATATTGTCGATGGGTTGCTGGTTGAAACTTACGACAGGATCAATCACAAATAACCTTAAACTAGAAGAATAAATGTACACATTAAAGACAAAGAACAGTACGAAAGTATAAAATCTGCTCTGTAAACTTACGACGAAGTAGAGAAATGTGTCCATGCATGAGCTGTGTATTTGGTGATTTCAACGTATATATTATTATTTATATTATTGTGTATATAAGCCCTTTTTCCGGTAATATTCGCTTATCGCGCAGAATGACACCAACTGATATAATAGTTCAAATGCAATGATAAGTTACCTCTTGAATTACGTCTCAGAAACTGTGTTGAAAATTCGAATGCTGACCCATTACATAAGATTACCGTTTTACATCGCGGTATAAAAATTTTGATCGCATGCCAAGGAATTCTTTCTTAGTCCAGAGACATAGCCCAAAGACTTAACTAATGTTAAGTGTGATTGTGATTGATTTTATAGAGATAGAGCCAAAACTGAGAATTTTAGAAAGCGATACAGGCACCTTCCCAAAGTTGTAGACAAGATTTGTTGTTTACGTCCAACGCGCTTAAAATTACATAACTCAAAATGATCCAAGCACAACGGTCCTTTGTCAAATGTGGAGACTGGTTCATAGGAACTAGTCATTTTGAGTTATGCATTCGTGTGTCATCATCCATCCGTGTGGTTGAACAAAGAAAAAGTTAGTCGTGAAATTAGAGAAAATAAAATAGCAGTTTGTTAGAAAACGCAAGGTCTACGGAGCGGGAACTTTTCGGATTTGAACTCAGCGTGTTCGACAGTGTTAGTTCCCGTAAAAATATTTCAGTTCCAAGACATGCACTACGGAAAGCGTTTTCTAGGCACTTTTCAAGGCCACAGCAAACGGCCTATTATTTGGAAAAAAACTCGACGAAACTTTAATCTGAAATAATTCGTCGGTTTTTGATGGCGTATAAACATTCGTGCATGTCATTGCATGGGTCTATGCATGCTATCAACGTACAAAAAAGGGTGCAGACGAGAGATATTAATTTTATACGGATGTAAAGACAAACAGACAGACAGAAAGATATGCAAATGCCCATGCAGAGAGAAAAATAGATCGACTGACTATTATAAATGGTTTACCTGCAAATATTTGTGTCCCCTGTCACGTCATTGTTAAACACACATATTCCATTCTTACTACAGTTGTTCAAATGAGAGCAATCCAATAAAATACTGCAATCAAATCCTTCGTATCCCCCAAAACATTGACAAACATTAGGCCCAACACATTGGCCCTTCTTGGAACATTCGTTAACTATGTTACAGTCGTGGATTGAACAACTTGGTCCAGACCAGCCGCTGGTACATTCACAGGTATCAAATGCAATACATCTACCGTTTCCTACGAAAGTGACATTTTATTATGGTACAGTGTATGCATGCAAGGCCAGTAGCGCGGGCATTCTAAAAACCTTTTCACATTTAGAGGGGGCACCACAGAAACACAATTAACATTTCCAAAAGGGAAAAATAATAGAATTATTCTGAGGGAAAAGTTCAACTATAAATTTGCAGTTAATTAAAACCCCTGATAATGTACGACAGTTTCTCAATCTTAATCTTAATCTTTATCAATTTTTTTGCAGAACTATATATACTAGTAGACCAAACATTAGGATCTGAGTCGTTGATGGAGCACTCTAAAAACCCTTTGACTGATAGCTGAATATAACTGTGTAACAAATCTGGGATTTTTTCACCAGTAAAAAATCATTGGTAAGATATAAATTAAGTTATATAATAATGTATATTGCCTCAAATTCAAAGCCAAAAATATTTAAAGAACGCTCAGGGCCGTCACTAGGGGGGG